AAGAAAGAAAGAAAGAAAGAAAGAAAGAAAGAAAGAAAGAAAGAAAGCCCTTAGATATTCTCAAAATTTTCAAATGGGTATTTTCAAGTTTGTACATTTGTAGAGATAAAGTTGGCTTGAAACCTACTGCATTTTGAGCTCTCTTTTTGCTCTCTTTCTAATGGTCTTACTGGATTTGGTTCTTGTTCCTTTTTTTAGGGGGCAAGATGGCTCAGCAATTAAAGATGCTGAGCTGTCAGCTGTGGAGCTGACAGTCCAGGTTCAAGACTCCAGCACCGTGCAATGGAGTGAGCTCCCATTCCTTGCAGCAGGTCCTTGCCAACCTAGCAGTTTGAAAGCATGCAAATGGGAGTAGATTAATAGTACCATTCCGGTGGGATGGTAGCAGTGTTCCATGTGCCTTTGGTGTACAGCCATGCTGGCCACATGGCCACAGAAAATGTATTTGGACAATGCTGCCCTAGAGTCAGACGTAACTAGACAGGGAAGCTTTTTCCTTTTCCTTTTTTGACCACCAATGAGTTTCGTACACCAATCAATTAGACCCATTTAGGTCTCGCACATTTTTCCTGCCAAATAGATTAACGTTAGAGTGAAGGTTATTGATTAATGATTGGCAATAACCTCTTGACATTTAAGCGTTTGCTGTAATCCCAGCAAGGACATCAGTGAAAATCAGTTGCAATTACAGTGGAAATTTGGGTCACGACCGTAGTCCATTCCAGTAGACAGCATGACTGTCTGTGCAGGCACGACCCCACCAAAATGGCGCCAAAGGAGAAATCTCCATGGCAATTTTGGGGTTTACTTGGTCACCACCCAAAGATCTGTTCGCGACCAGAAGAAAACTGTTCTGAAAATTCTGGTCGTCATCCAATTTGGTTGCGGATAGGAGCGTTCGCAACCCAGGGTTCCACTGCATTCACAGTATTTAAGTTCAGCGAGAACGGCACAAATAGTGGTAGAAGAGAACATTAGTAGCTCAGAGCTGAATTGTGGTGTTCTCTGAGATTGGTGGTTTTCCTGCAGTGTTATCAGCAGTAACATTGACGATGTTGCTTAGTTTGGTAATGAAACATCTACAAGAACACCACCAAGCTCAGAGAGCATCAAGGACCCCACACAAATACTTAAATTACTGATTTCAGTATACAAATACTGAAAGATATTGAATTAGTGAAGGTTGAAAATTCAGCATGTAGGTCAATTCCAACATTTTGCCAAGTTCTCATATCCACAAGTAAATGTGACTGTGCCATGAGTACTGATTGCTGGGTTATAAGAACATTTTTGCAAATAAGTGAATTTGCAAATATTTGCAAGCCCAGAAATAATGAGGATTGCATCTTTATGGACATGAGATGTTAACATGAGTGGCAGGGAAAAAGAAAAAAGAAACCTGCGATCCGATCTAAGCATAGTTCACAAAATTGTCTGCTATAACATCTTGCCTATCAATGACTTCTTCAGCTTCAATCAATACAACACACGGGGCAAACAACCAATACAAACTCAAGGTAAAACCGCTCCAAACTCGATTGCAGAAAACACGACTTCAGCCACAGAGTGGCCAATGCCTGGAACGCCCTACCCAACTCCGTTGTGGCAGCTCACCCCATTCCTAAGAGGTCCTTAAAGGGAGTGTGCATAAGCACACCAGCATGCCTACCATCCCTGTCTTAACTTCCCCCATTTATCTGTATTTAGTTCCACCTCATGAGAAGGAAGGACTCCCTGGAGAAGAGCTTAATGCTGGGAACAATTGAGGGCAATAAAAGAAGGGGAGGACAGAGATTGAGGTGGCTGGATGGAATCACTGAAGCAGTCGGCGTAAGCTTAAATGGACTCCAGGGATGGAGAGGACAGGAAGTCATGGAGGAACGTTGTCCATGGGGTCACGATGGGTCGCAACTAACAACAACTACTTCCTTTGTTCTTGTTTATGTTCATACTTATACTTGTTATCTTGTACATGTTTGACAAACAAACAAACAAAAAGAGCCCTGGAAAATGAATTTTTATTTATTTTTATTGATATTCATAAACAGATTTCTGTATATTTTCAAATGAAACAGGTGACAGATATCTAGTTAAGGCTTCAAAGGAGGCTAGGTTTATGTAATGGGCAGTAGGAATAACTTTTGGGAACAGGAGGAAGTGCTGTAACTAAGGCAGCAGTCAGATAAAAGGAATCTGAGTCCCGGGAAGAAACGTAATTTGAGAAAGTGTCTCAGGCACGAACCCCCCTGATCCTCATGATTAGGGGTCTCCAACTTTAAGACATGCAAACTTCAAGTCCCAGAATTCCCCACGGCTGGCTGAGGAATTCTGGGAGTTGAAGTCCATCAATCTTAAAGTGTGTGCCATTTACTTCCTTCCTACATCTAACTGCATGAGTAGGGGTCTCCAAATGTAGCAACTTTAAGACCGATGGACTTCAAATCCCAGAATTCCTCATGGCTGGCTGAGGAATTCTGGGAGTTGAAGTCCACAACTCCTAAAGTTGCCAAGTTTGGAGACTCCTACTTGTGAAGATAGAGGGACTGTGACAGCAGTGGGATCCTACCTGTTCCACTGCCGGTTGGCTGATCGTGCACATGCACCTAACACACACGTGCAACTTTCCCCACACCAGCTAAGGCCTGCAGTGCCAATCAGCTGAGAGGATAAAGGATAAGGGAGAGAAAAGTGCAGGGGCTGGTGGAAGGGCCGATCCTGACTTTTCTCTCCTTTCTCCTTTCAGCTGATAGTCGGCTTTTTTTTCCTCCTCTCAGCTGAACGTCAGAGGGGTTTTTTTTACTACCAGTTTCGATGAACCGGTCCGAATCAGTAGCATATTACCACTGGACTGCATTAAGACTTGCATGATTGATCTTCAGATAGAACAGACCAGCGGGGCTGAGCTATGAATGCCCATACTACCTTATTATAAGTTTACAGGAACAAAATCAATGTTTGTGTAGTAGTTGTGGCTGCCATCGTTAAGCCCCCATTTTTCACTCCCCTGCAAACTCATGTCTCTTCTGGGATCCTCAGAGCACCGAGAAGTGGGAAGGCCTATAGCCTTGTTGTTGTTGTGTAAGGGATATCCCATTCTGGGGAGTTTGGGGACAAAACTGGTGTCATTCATCCATTTTAAGGGGCACCTGTCTTTTCCCATGATGATGCTAACCTGATAAAATATGCATTATGACATCATCATGCAAGCTCCGCCTTTTGAATTTGCATTGTGAGATAGCCCACATGATCTAACAGCTTGAGTTTGCATTGGTTATTACCCTATGCTCACCTCCAAGGGGCACTCCACACCCCCAAATGGGCCCAGGCATATTCTCCACCCCCCCCCATTCTGGAAACCCCATACCATCACTGACAAGCCCCCAACATCCCCTAGGAAGGCAAAGTTTGCCTCTCGTGTGGAACTACCCATCCCTGTCTTGAATCTTCCTGTAAGAAGAACAGGAGAAAAAAATGGCTTTATGGTGGGTTTTTTTGTCAAGTTTTAGCTACTACTGATATTTCTAGAGTCAGAGAAAAAGGATGAATTTTTTAAGGTTTCTAAAATCCCAAGCATTAGAGCTATGGTGGCGGCGTAGTGGTTAGAATGGGGTATTGAAGGCTGACTCTGCCCACTGCCAAGAGTTCAATCCTGACCTTTCCGAGGTTGGTAAAATGAAGACCCAGTTTGTTGGGGAGGAAGGCAATACACTGATTGTAAAGCACTGTGAAGCGGTATATAAGCCCAAGTGTTATTGCTATCTCTGCCATAGTGGTGCAGTGGTTAGAATGCAGTATTGCAGGCTGACTTGGCCCACAGCCTGGAGTTCGATCCTAACTGGCTCAAGGTTGACTCAGCCTTCCATCCTTCTGAAGTCAGTAAAATAAGGACCCAGATTGTTGGGGGCAATAGGCTGACTAAACTGCTTAGAGAGGGCTGTAAAGCACTATGAACAGTGGTAGAATTCTGCCGGTTTGGACCAGTTTGAGCGAATCGATAGTTCTGGTGATCATTTGGCCCTGCCCACCTGCCCCTGCCTTAGTCTATTCTTTATTTCCATGTTTTGCAGCTCAGCTAATTTGCACGGCATAGCCTCAGCTGTTTTATTTATTTTTATTTTATTTTATTTTATTTGGTTTGTCAATTGCTTACAGGATAATAGGTATATGTAAAAACATAGTTATGAATACATGGATACATATAAGAAAAATAAAAAAATAAAAGAAACAATAGGACAGGGATGGTAGGCATGTTGGTGTGCTTATACACACCCCCTACAGGCCTCTTAGGAAAGGGGTGAGGTCAATAGTAGACAGTCTAAGGTTAAAGTTTTGGGGGTTTGGGGAAGAAACCACAGAGTCAGGTAAAGTAAAGTTCCAGACATTGACCACTCTGTTGCTGAAGTCGTATTTCCTGCAATCAAGTTTGGTGCGATTAACCTTGAGTTTGTATCTATTGTGCGCTCTTGTGTTGTTATGGTTGAAGCTGAAGTATTCATTGACAGGTAGGACATTGCAATGTATGATTTTATATAGTATACTTAGATCGGACCGAAGGCGGCGTAATTCAAGGTTTTCTAGGTCTAGAATTTCAAATCTGGTGGCATAAGGCATTCTACAACCAGTAGAGGAGTGGAGAACTCTTCTTGTGAAATATTTCTGGACTTTCTCAACTGTGCTAATATCAGATACGTAATGTGGGTTCCAGACTGATGAGCTGTATTCGAGTAGCTAGCAAATGTTTGGTCTAGCAAATGTTTTGTATGCTCTAGTTAGTAGTGTGATATTACCAGAGAAAAAGCTACGTAGGATTAGGTTAACAACTCTTAATGTCTTTTTGGCTATGTAGTTACAGTGGGATCTAGATGTGTATTCCAAGGTCCTTTACAGAGCTTGGATCATCAACAAGGTCTTGACTATTCAGCTTGTATTTTCTTTTCTGATTTATTTATTTTTTTGCCAATATGTAAGACAGAGCATTTATTTGTTGAGATTTGAAGTTGCCATTTGTTTGATCATTCTGATACATAGTCGAGGTATTTACTCACCAGTAAATACCTACAGCAGAAGGTAAGTATTAGGAATGGAAATGGGCAGTTTTAAAATGACGTGCTGGCGCAAAAGCATGTGTTCACCGAACCGGTTGCTACATTGGTTGTATCCCACCATTGACTATGAAGCAGTATATAAGCCTAAGTGCTATTGCTATTGCTATTTCCATCCCCTTATCAGCCCTCCAATGATGGAATTTTCCAGCCAGACTTAAGGTAGTTTCAACACTCACGTGCCACCATGGTTCATTAGGAACTCAGCTCCTGAACTGACATGGGCCATGGCTCTTGTGCTGAGGTCACACTTTGTTAATAAGTTCCCTGCACACCCTACTTTTCATTTGTGGGTTCTCTGGCCTCCTTATCTCCAGGAGGCCAGGTATCGTATGAACTAAATTTCTTGGTTTATTTGCTTTTGCAAGCGTGGCTTATCTGGATAACCTTTATATTGCTTTACAGGTAGAGTAATCCATAAAAGATAATCCTCCAAATACTTTTTTTAAAAGATTGTCCAAAGTACATAAATATGTCTTTGCTGATGCTCTCCGTGGTCAATTATAACCATTTGGTCTGCAAGGAGCTTTTTCGACTTGTCTCTTTGCAGTGGCAGCCTCTGATTTAGATTGCAAATGTCGTGGAAGGAAGAAAAACTCACGCACACTTTTAATGGCATCAGGTTTACTACAAGATCCTCACCGGAACTTTTAAATGCTTTGGTTTCATTTGATGCTAGAGAAGATGATATTCTGTTGGTTTCCTACCCCAAATCTGGTAAGGTTCGTTTGGAATTTGGCTGAAAGAGAATTTGTTAGATGAATTAGAAAAGATTGCGTGCAAGAGGTTGGCTGAATTCATTCAGTATTGTTGAAAGGTGGGCTAAAAATTCTGTACTATGAGAAATGCAAGGAATGCAAGGAACCAGGTTAAAGGCTTGAGAACTGCATTCACACTCACAATAAACTTAAGCTATGTTGGTTTTAATATTAATTAGGTTGTTGGTTCTTTAAGTGCATAACTAGTCATGTGAATCCAACCCAATTGGATTTTTTTTTGTGACTACTGGATATTGTCCAAAAACAGAAAAAAGAGCTTAATTTGGAGCCTTTTTTGAGAATTCCAGAAACTGGAAATAAACCCTGGGTTCTAGCAAAAACGTTATAAAGACTGGTCATGTGATCACCAGGCACTGCAAATGACTGTAAATTTGGGCAGGTTTCTGAGCATCCAAAATGTGGATCAGGTCCACATATGAACGTCCAATTAAACTGAATTATTGCTAATTATGCCTATGTACGGGAAACTTGTCAACTAATGTCAGCACCTGCTGGGACCTAAATACGAGTCAACAGAATTCAAGGAGGGTTGGACTTAATCTATTTCATCATCATCGTCAATTCTTTATTGGCCAAATGTGATTGGACACACAAGGAATTTGTCTTGGTGCAAATGCTCTCAGTGTACATAAAAGAAAAGATACATTCATCAAGAGTCAAGAATCATAAGGTACAACACTTAATGATAGTCATAGGGTACAATAAGCAATCAAATCATACTAGGAAACAGTCAATATAGATCGTAAGGATATGAGTGACAAAGTTATGGTCATACAGTCATAAGTGGGAGGAGGTGGGTGATAAGAACGATGAGAAGATTAATAGTGATAGTAATGCAGACTTAGTAATAGTTGGACAGTGTTAAGGAAATTATTTATTTAGCAGAGTGATGGCGTTCAGGAAAAAACTGTCCTTGTGTCTAGTTGTTCTGGTGGGCAGTGCTGTATAGCGTTGTTTTGAGAGTAGGAGTTGAAACAGTTCATGTCCGGGATGTGAGGGGTCTGTAGATATTTTCACAGCCCTCTTTTTGACTCGTCCAGTATACAGGTCCTCCATGGAAGGCAGGTTGGTAGCACCTGATGCCAATACTACCATAGCTTTGGGATTCTTGTATAACATTGTTAGTAATCAGCAGAATAAGTATCCTGATGCTGTGCTTACCGTAGTGGGGGACTTTTATCAAGCTGATTTAAAAGAAGCGCTCCCTAAATTCTATCAGCATGTTAAGTGTGCTACTAGAGGAGCAAACATATTGGACAAAGTATATACCAACATCAAACATGGCTATAAGGTTATACAATTAGCACATTTGGGACAATCAGACCATATGTCACTGCTTTTAGCACCAGCTTACATCCCTCTTAGGAGACGGGCTCTGCCTATAATAAAGACAGTGAAATCTTGGCCAGAAGATGCTTCCCAACAACTTCAGGATTGTTTTGAGAACACAAATTGGGACATCTTTTACCACCCTGACCTAGAGGTGCACACTGCAACTGTTCTGTGCTATATCAAACACTGCACAGATACTATCACTGTGGATAAACGTATTAGGATCTATCCCAATCAGAAACCCTGGATGACCAAGGAAGTCCAGCGCCTCTTGCATGACAGGACCAAGGCCTTTAGGTCCGGTGATGGGGCAAGATACGGTGTTGCCAGAGCTAATCTGAAGAAAGGAATTCGGAAGGCCAAGACTGATTATAAGAGGAAGATTGAGGATAATCTTTATAGCAATAACATGAGGCAGGTGTGGCGAGGGATTCAACAAATTACAAACCATCAACCGACCAATGTCATCCCTGCTGAGGGGGATGCTTCATTGGCAGAGGAACTGAATCATTTCTTTGCTCGTTTTGAAGTGGAGACATCAGAGACAGATAAAACACAACTACCAGCCAATTGTAGCCCTCACCTCATTGTGGAGGAACAGGAGGTGAGGAGCATTCTGAGGGCTGTGGACCCTAGAAAGGCTGCCGGTCCTGACGGTATCTCTGGCCGGGTGCTCAGAGACTGTGCTGATCAGTTGGCTGGAGTCTTTACCAGGATCTTCAATCGGTCTTTATGCCAGTCCACTATTCCATCTTGTTTGAAGGTTTCCACCATTTTTCCACTGACAAAGAAGTTCCCTATCAATAACCTCAACGATTACAGACCAGTGGCACTCTCTCCTATCAGCATGAAGTGCTTTGAGAAATTGCTCTGCCGGCACATCATTTCTGGTCTTCCTCATATATTTGATAAACAGCAGTTTGCATACAGAAAAAATAGAAGTACAGAGGACGCTATAGCCATCACTCTTCACACTGCTCTGACTCACCTAGAACAGCGAGGGGGGGGGCGCTATGTGAAGATGCCTTTTGTGGGTTTTAGTCAGTGATGGGATTTTTACTACCGGTTCTGTGGGAGTTGCTTGGTGGGTGTGGCAGGGGAAGGATACTGTAAAATCCCCATTCCCTCCCCACCCCACTAACCTGCTTTCCAGCTCCGTTCTCCTGTGCAGGGCAACAAAAGAAGACCCAGCCAATCAGCTGGGACTTGGGAGGCAGAGAATAGATAGGGGTGGGGCCAGTCAGAGTTGGGATTTGCCGGTTGTCCAAACTACTCAAAATTTCCGCTACCGGTTCTCCAGAACTGGTCAGAACCTGCTGAATGCCACCTCTGGTTTTAGTTCTACGTTTAGTTCTGGACCTTGGGCTTTCTAATTCAATCTGCCTTTGGATTATGGATTTCCTGTCTGGCCACTCACGGAGGGTCAGATTAGGTAATCATACCTCTTCAGCCCTTATTCTTAACACTGGTACACCACAGGGTTGGGTGTTGAGTCCCTTACTCTATACTCTTTATGGGCACGACTGCATTCCCACTCATGTTAGTAATCCTATTGCTAAATTTGCAGATGATACAACAGTGGTGGGACTCATCTCCAGGGGGGATGCGTCTGCCTACTGAGATGAGGTGGACAGGTTGCTTTCGTGGTGTGGAGACAATAACATGGTCCTCAACACCAATAAGACCAAGGAGCTTATAGTGGATTATAGAAGGAACAGATCAGACATCCAGCCCTTGCTTATCAATCGAGACCGAGTGGAGCAAGTGGCCAGTTTTAAGTTTCTGGGTGTTACCCTAAAAGAGGACCTGACCTGGGATGCCCACATTGCAGCCCTGGTCAAAAGGGCCCAGCAGAGATTATACTACCTGAGACTTCTCAGAAAACAACAACTGAATGGAAAACTGCTGGGGACCTTCTACCGCTGCACCATAGGGAGTATCTTAACTTACTGCACCTCTGTATGGTTTGCCAATTGTACAGTGGCAGATAGGAAAGCACTCCAGAGGGTTAATGTCATTGCCCAGAAGATCATTGGTTGCTCCCTCCCTCTTTGGAAGAGCTTTATAGCTCACGCTGCCTTAAGAAAGTTCAAAACATTCTCAAAGAACCTGGGAACCCTTTGTTTGAACTATTACTATCTGGCAGACGGTACAGAATAATAAAAAGAAGGACAAATAGTCTGAAAAACAGCTTCTATCCCAGGGCAGTAGCTCTTTTGAATTCTACTGTATAGTGCCGTGTTGATGTGGTGTCGGGGATTTCTGGTTCAATGTGTGAAGGGTGAAGGATGTGTATTTGTGTTTATTTTCATGCTCATGATGTGCACTGAAGATGGTGTTTGATTTTGTTTTACGAGGTGCAATGACAATAAAGTAAACTAAACTAAACTGGTTTTTTTTCTGAATTTCTAACTGAAGTCTGTGTCTGTCTTGTTTGGTTGCAGAACCAAACCAGATAGTTATAGAGGTGCAGATGTCAGACTCAATCATTCCTCTGTAGAACTGGATCAGCATCAGCATTTGTGGCTATGTAGAGATTCTAGGCTAATCCCTCTTTTAACTCTGACCCCAAGTTCTGCCACTCCTTCTCCTACAGTGGTCACATGCCTGGAGGGTGGGGGCGACAATGTCAGTACTTCACAACTGTATTATACATAACTTTTCAGGGGGTCTCTAGCAACAGTGGGATACAATTTTTTTTACTACGGTTCTGTGGACGTGGCTTGGTGGGTGTGGTGTGGCTTGGTGGGCATGGTAGGGGAAGGTTGCTGCAAAATCTCCATTCCCTCCCCACTCTTGGGGGAAGGTTATTGCAAAATCCCCATTCTCTCCCTACCCCACTAACCTGCTTTCCAGCTCCTTTCTCCTGTGCAGGGAAACAAAAGAAGACTCAGCCGATCAGCTGGGACTCGGGAGGCAGAGAATAGATGGGGGCAGGGCCAGTCAGAGGTGGTATTTTCCAGTCCTCCAAATTACTCAAAATTTCCGCTACTGGTTCTCCAGAACTGATCAGAACCTGCTGAATACCACCTCTGGTCTTCAGTAACTTTGAACTATGACTGGTCTTAAGTCAAGGACTACCTGTGATGCAATGAATTCATGCTTCTGTATCTACCTCTACAATGTTCACCTGTCTATCCTTTGCATTATTTTCTTCTCATTGGCCAACAGATGGTATGCTTCTTCTAAGCCTGCTTTCACACACCTTCTGTCCTACCTGGGTTTCGACACTCTGACAATCCAGTGCCTCTTTCCCTTTGTCTTCCCTGTTAGGAACCCACTGGCTGGCGGAAATCCTGACACACATCTATGCATCCAAAGTGGCTTTGACCTCTCCTATTGAATTTGGAGACCTTTCCAGACTGGATCAACTGGATCGCCTTTCTGGCAAAAGGATCATTCCGACCCACTTGGACAGCAACCTCCTGCCGCCAACATTCAGGGTCAAGCATTGCAAGGTTAAATTTAATTTAAAATCTTGGGAGAACAGGGGATCGACTGCATTCACACAAGAGGTTTAACCTGAACTCTGAGTGAAACCACGTCCAGGGTTCACACAATGTAATCACACATTTTATTCAAACCACAAACTGGATGGGTTAACGCAGCACTGCCTAATAACAAATACCCTTCTAATATAGGGCTGTCAAACTCAATTTCACTGAAGGTCGCATCAGGGTTGTGTTTGAACTCAGAAGGCCGTGTGTGTGGCTGGGGTGGGCATGGTACAGGATTCATATCGGGGGCACCTGTGGTGGCCAAGTGCTAAGGCAGGACTTCCCTGAGACCCTCCCTCCCTCTCATTATAATCTCCTTCTTTCCTTCCTTCCTTCTTTCCTTCCCTCTTTCCTTCCTTCTTTTCTTCCTTCCTTCTTTCTGTCCTTCCTTTGTTCCTTCCTTCCTTCTTTTCTTCCTTCTTTCTATCCTTCCTTTGTTCCTTCCTTTGTTCCTTCCTTCTTTCTTTCCTTCCTTCCCTCTTTCCTTCCTTCTTTCCTTCCTTCCTTTGTTCCTTTCTTTGTTCCTTCCTTCATTCCCTCTTTCCTTCCTTCCTTCTTTCCTTCTTTCCTTTGTTCCTTCCTTCTTTCCTTCCTTCCTTCCTTTGTTCCTTCCTTCTTTTCTTCTTCCTTCCTTCCTTCCCTCTTTCCTTCCTTCCTTCCTTCCTTCCTTCCTTCCTTCCTTCTTTCCTTTGTTCCTTCTTTCTTTCCTTCCTTCCTTCCTTCCTTCCTTCCTTCCTTCCTTCCTTCCTTCCTTCCTTCCTTCCTTCCTTCCTTTTTCCCTTCCTTCCTTTTCTTTTTCCTTCCCTCTTCATTCTCCTTTCTTCCTTCCTCTCTTCCCATTTTTCCTTTTTTTTCTTTGTCTTTCATCTCTCTTTTTTTGCATGCTCAAGTGCAAAGGGGGAAACATTTCTCCTTTTGTTTTGTTTTTAGTTTGTTTTGATAGCCCTCTGCCAGTGAAAACGGAGCATGGGGGGTTGCACTGCAATGTCCCCCCCAGCACCCTGTTTTCAGCTGAGACAGTTTCTTGCAGCTCTCTCGGGGGTGGGGTGGGGGGCTGCATGTAACCCCCCCCCCAGCTGCATTTTTGCTGGCAGAGGCACCACGGGCTGGTCCTTTGCTGCTTCCAGGCTAGACCTGCAGGCCAGATCTCAGCACCACTAAGCAGTTTAGAGTTTAACACCCCTGTTCTAATAGGTACATTTTTTTTTACAAACTTTAATGTTAATCAACACAAGCAGGTTGAAAAACCCACCCCCCATCAAACCCACATTAAAAAGTAAGCAAATCTAGGATGTTGGATAAATGTGGATGCTAGATTTTTAAAAGGTTCTGGAGGAACCCAGCTCTTGAGGTCCAATTATAACATTCTGTATCTCTTTTGTAGGCCATTTATATAGTCCGAAATCCAAAGGATATCGCTGTATCCATGTTCCATTACTATCAAGAGAATCCAAATCTTCCCACCGTAGATTCCTGGCCGAATTTCCTGGAGATGTTCTTAAATGGAGATGGTAAGATTTAAAGTCAGGGACTGCAGCCAAGACATTAAAAGACGCTTGCTCCTGGGAAGGAAAGCGACAGCAAATCTAGACAGCATCCTAAAAAGCATGGCATAGAGAAAATGGACAAGGGAAATGAGTTTTCTCTCTCTTCCAGTTGTAAGGAAAAGGGATCCTTGACTGAAACTGATTGGAACTAGATTTAGAATAGACAAAAGAAAATCCTCGAGATGCCAAATAATCCCATTGAGGAATTTCTGATCTCTTCAGCAGATCTTAAACATCTTCTGCCTTCCACCTGAGCTGGCTATTTTGCACTGTCAGATCCGAGTCACAAATTGGCTTGAATTCCTTGCCGAGGTCAAGAGTGGAAGGATTTTGTTATCTCAATGATGTTCAGGCTCATTTACTACATGGCTGTAAAAAATGGACAATCCAAAGATCAGCCAAGAAATAAGTAGAACTGATGTTAAGGGAAGAAAACGAAGTGGGGTTGTGATTTAAGAAGGAAGAGGAAGCAAAGAGAAGGGAAGAAGGATACAAGCAGTGGTGGGATTCTAAATTTTTTACTACCGGTTCTGTCGGCGTGGCTTGATGGGCGTGGGGAGGCTTGGTGGGCATGGCTTGATGGGCATGGCAGGGGAAAGATACTGTAAAATCTCCATTCCCTCCCCACTCCTGGGGGAAGGTTACTGCAAAATCCCATTCCCTCCCCATCCCACTAACCTGCTTTCCAGCTCCGTTCTTCTGTGCAGGGCAACCAAAGAAGACCCAGCTGATCAGCTGGGACTTGGGAGGCAGGGAATAGATAGGGGTGGGGCCAGTCAGAGGTGGGATTTGCCGGTTCTCCAAACTATTCAACATTTCTGCTACCAGTTCTCCAGAACTGGTCAGAACCTGCTGAACACCACCTCTGGTTACAATATTCAATTTATATAATAGGTCTGTTCATTTTAGCAATTTAATCACAAGGGTCAATGTTGGTTTTAATTTAAAAGGCAAAGGGCAATCTTAGATATTTTGGATAGTTAAGAATATTTTGGAATATTTGGAGCTGCATCATAAAAAGCAAGCTGCATTGATTTTCTTAGAGAAGGCCTTTGAAAATTTGCATTCATGTTCAAAGTTTTGGAAGGTATAAATTTTGGACAGAACTTTATAAAATGGTTAAGATTGATTTATGCTTCAGAGAAAGCATCAATAAATGTTCATGGAGATTTCAGAAAGTTTTGTATGATACCTAAAAGGACAAGACAGAGGTGCTCAGTCACTCTCATTTATTTTGGTTCTTGAAATACTGAACTGAGGTAGAAGACAGGATGAGAGAATTGTGGAGGTAAAGATTAAAAAAATATAGTTTAAGAGCTTCTGCAGATGACTTGGTTTTCGAAGATTTAAAGGAATTGAAACATTAATGGGGAAACTAGAAGAATTTAGTGCATTAGCAGGTTTTAAGATCAACAAATAGAAGAGGAAGATGTTAAAAAACATGAATATAAAAATGAAACAGAATTGAGGAATAGAACTGGCTTTAAAGAAAGAAAAAAGAAAAATATCTGTGCATCATTATAACAAATATGAATTGCATTTTATTCAAAATATATGAAGATGTAGAATGAAGTAAAAAAAGATAATCTAAGATGAGAGAAACTACAGTTGTAATTGCTGAGGGAACGTTATGTTATAAAAATTAATATCCTGCTTAGAATTTTGTTTTTGTTCCAGATATTACCTCTTTTGACAACTGAAGCCTGTTTTAAATTGTGACAAAAGCGTAATCTAAATTTGTGTATCAAGGAAAAAATGATGAGTTAAAGTGTTACAGGATGCAAAAGAAAAAGGAGGATTAGGTTACCGGATGTGAAATTGAATTTTGCAGCCTGCTATTTGGTTTGGATGAAAGAAATAAAAGGCTTTGGGAGTTAGAATGATATGGCATGGATAATTGTGATACAATAAAATCAAGGTTAATATGGATTTTTTTAAAAAAAATCATTATCTCAGACTTGCCATAAGCACACTAGGCTAATCCATAAAGTGGTTTGTTTAGTTTAGCATATTGTGTGAACTTGAGTAACACTGCCTTATTCAATAAGCCACAATTAAACAGAGATGTATAAAGAAGACCACGGTTGTGGGTAAGTGAGTAATTTGGATATCTAACTTCTTGGAATATTTCGATTCCTGCCTCAATCTTCAGCTTTCGTAACAAAAAATCTATTATTGTGAAGTTTCAAATGCCAGCTTCCTGGTTCTTGAAGTAGTAATGTAAATGTCATTGCTTTTTTCTTCTTCTTTTTAAACAGTTGTCTGCGGATCCTGGTTTGACCACGTTTTAAGCTGGGAAAAACACTTGCATGAGAAAAACATCCTGTTCTTGTTCTACGAAGACATGAAAAAGGTAAATTGGCAACCCTTTCTTACTTCTGAACAGATGAAGGAAGCAGAGGCTAAAGCGTTTCACGCTGCACCTTATTTTTCGTTTTGCTGATCGTAATATAGCTGCCCGTAACTCCATGCATTTTAATGTGTTGTTATCTCACAGTCATGTGGCCAGGGGATTTTGGTATTGTAGTTCAGCGCAAGGACGTCAGATTGATGACTGTTAGAGTCCTACCTTAGGTTCCAATTACATGATTTATTTGCTACTGTATAGCCATCCTGCTCCTGAGTGGACACACACTTATATGTCTTGCATGTATTCATATCCATGGGATGTGCAAAACCTACCATTCTAGGAACCAGAGACTCAATTGTTATGAAATTTGATTCTTTGATCTCCAGAATGGTAGTTGTTGGATATCCTCTATATCTCATTTTCTCTCTGTGTGTGATTTTGTGTTTGTATGCATGCATGTGTGCATGCGTGTGTGCGTGTGTATTAAGGGATCTATCTATCTATCTATCTATCTATCTATCTATCTATCTATCTACCTATCTATCACCTATCATCTATCATTATCTATCATCTATCTATCATCTATCTACTTATCTATCATCTATGTTTACCTATCATCTATATCTATCTGTCATCTATATCTATCATTATCTATCACTCTATCTATCATCTATTTGTTTATTTATTCCATTAGATTTTTACCCAGCCTTATAAGTAATTCAGAGTGGCGAACATACTTAATACTCCTTCCTCCTCTGATTTTCCTCACAACAACAACCCTGTGAGGTGGGCTGGGTTCAAAGAGAGTGACTGGCCCCAAAATCACTTAGCCGAATTTCATGGCTAAGGCAGGATTAGAACTCAAAGTCTCCCAGAGGCTTTCATGCCTCAGACAGGACTAGAACTTATTGTCTTCAGGGTTCTAACCTGGTGCCTTAACCACTAGGCCAAACTGGTGTTTTTTTTAAAAAACTTATAAAATCTTTTCTTACCAGAAAACAGGAATCTATATGGTTACGCCGTTTCATTCTGAGAACAACACCGTGAAGTGAGTTACATTCCATGTTCCTAGAGGAGAAGATAAGATAATAGATTGTGTCCTCTAGAGAAAAAATCCTATTACACCATTCTGTTTAGCCATGGAAAAGGACTGAAATCAGCATGAGAATATCTTTCCAGACTCCTTGTAAATACATCAAAATCCCTCTTGCAGTTTCTCTGTTTTTTTTTCTTTTTCTACCTTTTCTCACACTAATAAAGGAGAATATTAGTACTTGGGGTTGAAATGAGGGATCCTTGACCAGTGGTGGGATTCTATTTTTTTTACTAGCGGTTCTGTGGCCGTGGCTTGGTGGGCGTGGCTTGGTTGGCATGGCAGGTGAAGTATACTATAAAATATCCATTCCCAACCCACTCCAGAGGAAGGATGCTGTAAAATCCGCATTCCCTCCCCACTCGTGGGGGGAAGGGTACTGCAAAATCCCCATTCCCTCCCCACCCCACTAACCTGCTTTCCAGCTCCGTTCTCCTGTGCAGGGCAACCAAAGAAGACCCAGCCGATCAGCTAGGACTTGGGAGGCAGAAAATAGATGGGGTCAGTCAGAGGTGGGATTTGACAGTTCTCCAAACTACTTTAAATTTCCACAACCAGTTCTCCAGAACTGGTCAGGACCTGCTGAAAACCACCTCTGATGCAAATGCAAGTAGATAAATATGTAGCACTTTGCTGGGAAGGTTCTGTGATGTCATGCTGGCCGCATGACCTGGGAAATGTCTTCAGACAGCATTGGCTCAATGGCCTTGAAACGGAGATGAGCAGAATAAACTCTGCAGGGACTCTACTCCTTCCATTTCTGTGGGAGAGAATAAACACATAACACAAAAATCATAGACCATTTTTCTCTGTTATTTACACATTCAGGATCTCCCGAAGGTGATGAAGAAATTAAGTGCCTTCCTAGGGCTCAACCCCACTGAGAGCCAGATGTATGAAATCTGCAAAAAGTCTTCCTTCAATGAGATGAAAACCAATACAGAAAAGGAAAATTCTGATCAAAGCCATACAGTCTGTGTACTCACTTCCAACCGGAAATTGATATTCCGAAAAGGTAATTTGAAGAGAGAATTCTATTCTATTCTATTCTATTCTATTCTATTCTATTCTATTCTATTCTATTCTATTCTATTCTATTCTATTTTCTATTCTATTCTATTCTATTTTCTATTCTATTCTATTCTATTCTATTTTCTATTCAAACCTGTCCTCTTTCCGTGCTTCCAAATGCTTCCCAATTTTTCCCCCTCACGCCTCCTGTTGAGAGACACACATATGGTGATCTTTTTATGGGAACGACTTGAAAAAAAACATCCTTCCTCATGTCTCATCATTTCCTAGGTACGGTTGGTGACTGGAAGAATCACTTCACTCCAAAACAGAACCAGCTGTTTGAAGAGACATTTAAGAAGAAAATGACATTCAGCGAAGTGGCGAAACATCTCGTTTATGAATGTTGACCCGGAAACAAACCCTGTATTGGAATATGTTTAAAAGACTAATATTTTTCACATTGGATAGACTCGTTTTCTTCCAAAGAGAAAGATGAGGAAGACACATGAGGGATTTGTGAAGAAATTCCGCTCTTGGGGATTGCAGCTGATCCATTCTGTTCTCCTTACTTCTGTTTTCTATCCCATCTCTTATAACAATCAATTCGGTGTACCCTAACAAATACGCAGGTTCAGTTTTCACTGAAGTATTTTGCTTGTGACTCCTTAATGATCATTACCTTCTTGTTTCTGTTGGTTTAGTTTGGCTCTGTAAGTCCACAAGCTTCTTGACACCTTCCCTGTTATGTGTAGGCAGTGCTGTTCTTCCTATTGTACATAAGGAACCACCACTATAGGCCTGAAACAGGCAAAAACATTGTGATGATGGGGTGTTGATAATCTCTGCGAGGGAAATTCAAGACTTTTGTTTTGCTTTTCTGATGAGGAAGTTCAGTGACAGAGACACACTTGTTCTCCCCTCGTGCACTTCCTTTTCCCAGAGATTTATAGATTTGTAGAAATAGCTCATTGAATCAGAAGTGTACTATTTAATGAACAATGAATAAATGAACAGTGAAAGGACCTTCAAGGATCTTTAGTCCAACTCTCTCTCTGTGCAGGAAATTCAATTAAATCAATGTTTTCCAACCTCAGCAAGTTTACAACGTGCGCACTTCAACTCCCAGAATTCCCCTGCCAGTCTGGTGGCTGAGGAATTCTGGGAGTTGAAGTCCACCCATTTTAAAGTTGCCAAGGTTGGAGTCACCTTTAAGAGACTGCTGTCCAGCAACCTCTTAAAAAAAATTTCTAGAGATCGAGAGCTGAAAATACTATAAGTACAATTTTCTACTATTGTACAACTCTCATCGTCGTTCCCTGAAAAATTCACTTGTTCGATTGTGCACAAAATCAATGTCATTCTTGCAATGAGTAAAATGTATGCCTATTTGACAGCACAAATCAAGGCCAACGTGTTGTAATTGTTAATTGTAAACCTCTGGCTTTAATATGAGCTTTAAGTTTTCTTAACATGTTGTAATTGTTAACATTTTTTGAGGCGGGGTTCCTAATAGTAGTGTTGCATGATGACCTCTGGGTTTAATATGAGATTCAGATTCTCCTTTGAAGATAATTTGATTCAATATTCAACGCCACCAAAAAGGGGAAGTCAAGCTATTCTCCAAAGCACCTGAAGGCAGGACAAGAAATAATGGATGGAAACTAATCAAGGAGAGAAGCAACTTAGAACTAAGGAGAAATTTCCTGACAGTTAGAGCAATTAATCAGTGGAACAACTTGCCTCCAAAAGTTGTTGGTTCTCCAACACTGGGAGTTTTTAATGAAGAGATTGGACAACGCTTTGTCCGAAATGGTATAGGGCATCTTGCCTAAGGAGCGGGTTGGATTAGAAGACCTATAAAGTCCCTGCCAACTCTGTTATTCCATTCCATTCCACAATCTCCTTCTTGGTAAATAAAATTGAATCTTGAAAGAATTAGAACAGACCAAAGGATTTCTTTTTAACATGGCACGTAATTAAATTTCGGATTTGTGCCATAAGACAAGGTGATTGGCTGATTGTAGAAAGAGTGAGACCAAGCTGTGGGATATGGGACTTTTGGTCTTCATGGCAGTGGGGCTGCCTCTGAAGGCCATCTGCTGGGAAACCAGGGGGCTTCCTTGTGCTGTTGGTTGGTCACCCTGAAGAGCAGACTGATAGACTAGACGGGTCAGGGCTAATTCAAAGGAAAAGACACACCTCACACAGCTCCCTGAAATGATGGTGCTCCATTCTTAGGGACAGATAAGACACCCAACCATCAATAACAGAATAAAGAGTTGGAAGGGACCTTGGAGGCAGGGGTGGGATTCTACCAGTTCGCACCTATTCACTAGAACCAGTTGTTAACATTCTAAGCAGTTCAGAGAACTGGTTGTTAGAAGAAATTACGGGCCTAATCCTGTAAGGAAGGCAGGAAGGAAACATTCTGGTGTTGCTTACAGAAACTGCCTCTCCGTTAACCCTTATTACATTCTTGGCAGGACTAGACTTCCTGTCTCAGGAACTTCTCTGGAGTTTTTTCCCCCTCCTTTGCTGGTACTTTGCTTGTGTTCAGTGACCATTCAAAGTTACAATGGCACTGAAAAAAGTGACTTATGACCATTTTTCACACTTATGACTGTTGCAGCATCCCCACAGTCACAAAGAGGCCAAGGGAGGAGATGCGTGCCTCGATGCGAGTGATGTTGAGTTGGCCACGCCCAGCCAGTCACATGACCACCAAGCCGTGTCCACCCAGTCACATGACCACCAAGCCACACCCACCAACTAAGCCACGCCCACAGAACCGGTTGTTAAAACATTTGAATCCCACCCCTGCTTGGAGGTCTTCTAGTTGAAACTCTCACTCAGACAGGAGATACTACATCATTCAGACAAATGGTTGTCTAATCTCTTCTTTAAAGTCTCCAGTGTTGGAGCACCCGTAACTTCTGGAGACAAGCCGTTCCACTGACCGATAGTTCTCACTGTCAGGAAATGTCTCTTTAGTCCTAAGTTGGACCCCTCCTTGGTTAGTTTCCATCCTTTGCTTTGGAGAATAGGTTAAACACACCCCTCTTCTTTGTGGCAGCCCCTTAGATATTGGAACATTGCTACCGAGTCACCCCGACTCCTTCTTTTCATTAAATTAGACATGCCCCATTCCTGAAACCATTCTTCATATCAGCCTCCAGTTTCCTAACCAGCTGGTTCGGACCGGTTCGCACGAACCAGATGTTAATTTAATGTCAGGTTCGGTGAACCAATAGTTCCGAGGACCAGTTGGCCCCCCCAGGAGTCTCCTTGCAGCCCGTTTTGGATCCCAGGTAAGTGCAGGGGGCGCACGGGGCCCAGGGAGGGTGAAAAATGGGCCTCCTGGGATTTCCGGAAGTCTGGAAATGGGCTTGTTTCCAGCCTCTGGGGGTCTTCCGGAGCCCGGGGGAAGCCATTTTTGCCCTCCTGGAGGCTCAAGGAAAGCCTCCAGAACCCGGGGAGGGTGAAAATGCCCCAACCCCCACAGTGCAGGAGGCCAACTAATCCACATCCACCATGGCCACACCCATCCAGCCACCGGGCAGAGAACCGGTGGCTAAAATTTTTGAATCCCACCCCTGCTCCTAATCAATTTTATTGCTCTTCTCTGGACAATTTTTAGAGCCTCAACAACTTTTTAATATTATGACGACCAAAACGGGATGCAATATTCCAAGCGTGGTCTTACCCAGGGATTCTAAAATGGTATTAACCTTTCACATGATCTCAGTTCTATCCCTCTGATAAGGCCACTCACGTCGGCTTTTTTGGCAGTTGCAGCACACTGCTGGCTCCTATTTAAGTGATTGTCCATTAGGACTCCATGATCAATCTCAGACGACGCTTTTTTTTTTTCCTTGCAGATAAACTAAAGTCAAGAATGACCTGGGCCTGCTAAAGGGCAGATGATGAAAATTGCACAAAACCTGGCTCAGCTCTGTTTCTTCACAAAACTTTAAGCTACTTTTTAGCGCCATCTAGCAGTCAAATAGAATGGCAGGCCTATGTTTTTTTTTTCCCCCTTATTCAGACACAGATGGATGGGCATGTATGGGATTATTCTACACAAAAGACAAAGCAACACATTCCATTATTTTTACTTTCCTGGTTGTGGCACAAACACTAGTCATACTGGGGGGCTTGTCCTCTCCCGCCCCACCCAAAAAGCCCTCATTAAAGTAGATGAAGGACTCATAAATAAATAAAGGAAGGACTCACTGGAGAAGAGCCTAATGCTGTTGAAGATTGACAGAGCAACAGAGTGGTCAATGTCTGGAATACTCTACCTGACTCTGTAGTTTCTTCCCCAAACCCCAAAAACTTTAACCTTAGACTGTCTAACTATTGACCTCACCTCTTTCCTAAGAGGCCTGTAGGGGGCGTGCATAAGCGCACCAACGTACCTACCATCCCTGTCCTATTGTTTCTTTTATTTTTCTTATATGTACCCATTTCATGTATTTATAACTATGTATACAGTTATACTTATCTTGCAAACAATTGACAAGTCAAATAAATAAATAAAATAAAATAAAGATTGAAGGCAAAAGAAGGGGACGGCAGAGAATGAGGTGGCTGGATGGAATCACTGAAGCAGTCGGCGTGAGCTTAAATGGACTCCGGAAGATGGTAGAGGACAGGAAGGCCTGGAGGAACATTCTGTCAGGATTCCAACACTTATCCCCATTTAAATCATGAGACTCTAGCCAAACTCCAAAAAGGATTTATTGGGAGTTAAATAATGTGCCATTGCCTGGGTGTAGGTGACTCTGAGACACATAATTCATTGTCACCCTTAACCCTGGTTTTCCCTCACCCCCTTAAACTTATTGTGCGAACACAACCTTAAACATGGGATTGGTTCCCGTCAAGGTGGACATTTCAATACTGGAGGATTATCAGAAATAGGAAGCTGAGATGGAAGCAGAATCTGTCACACGCAAGGACTCTGCAACGCACAACAAATTACTCATCCCCCGTTACTCATCTTGCGGTATTGGTTTCCATTGAAAAGAAAGAAGAGCACCAATACAGTTTTCCAAGTTTTTCTTTTATTCTTGAATCTTAAAAAAAATAAAGCCTATTTGATTACATTTTATTCACACTTATAAATAATCAACAAGACAAATCAGTAAAGAGTATTGGAACAGAAGTCCTTTATTCGTAGTTCCCAGAAAATGCACCGAACCTCGGCATCTGGCAGAAGAGGTATTTGATAGTCTGATGTTTTATATATATATATTTATATTTCGTATTTATAAACCAATGGCAATCTCTTGACCATTTTTCTCCCCCCGAAAACTGTCTTCAGGTGATTTGAGTCCTGTGTATCTTATTTCAAAGTTCTCTTTCATCCTTCTAATGTAAATACCAGCTATTCAAGCATATTGGGATATTCCTTCATCCAGCATTAATATATTATTACCAATTTGGCTCTTTTTCCCCAGTCCAGAGTTCACCAGATCTCTTTTGGAGAGGCAATTGATTTTGCATATTAAAGTGAAAGATAAAACAAGGGTGAAAAATGGGTGAGAAAATTATTTGGCCAAAAGTACATTTTCAAAATGGTTTCAAAGCAAAAAATTTGGGATTCACGTATCCTATTGTGGATGGTTGGTGTTGCTTCAGTGTCATAGAAACCTTGCCTATTGTGGCTTTAAAAACAAACAAACATGGTTTACAGTAGGTCACAGAAAGGGTGATCTTATGGGGGGGGGAAAGGAAAGTAGGAGAAGATTTTATTTGCATGGTGAAGCATAATTACCGAAAGAGTAATCCGATTCGCATAGCTCTAGATAATTCATACCCACTAAATTGGCCAGTATTTACAATAGGACATGATGTGAAATGTTACAGCAAGGGCTCTGTGGTTAAAGATGCTGAACTTGTCAGCTTGAAAGCTTCGAGACTTGAGTGATACGAGACGGGGTGAACTTCCGTTTCTTGCCTCAGCGCTTGCCCATCTAGCAGTCTGAAAGCAGGCAAGCGCGAGTAGATAAATAGGTATCACTTCGGTGGGAAGGTAACACAAAAGTCAAAATCACTTTGCCGAGAATGGTATTTCAGCATACAAAGGCCTTTTTCTATGCATGAAAATTCTCCTTGGGTACAACTACAAAAATCTAACGCAGTGGTGGCTAACCTTTTCGGCAATGAGTGCCAAAACGGGAGTGCGCATGCATATACATGCCAGCCACCTGGTCTTCCAGTTTCTAACATGCATGCATGTACAAAGACCAGCTGGCTGGCACTTGCATGGACTCTGGGGAGCTGCTTTTCCGGTTTCCGGCACTGCTGCGTATGCAAAGACCAGCTGGCTGGCGCACATGCGCTCCGGGGAGCTGCTCTTCTGGTTTCCGGTGCTCCCGCACGCACGAAGACCAGCTGGCCAGCATGCATCTGCGCGCTGGAACCCAGAAGAGCAACAGGGGACAGCTGGTGTGCCTGGAAAGATGGCTCTGTATGCCACTTCCGGCACTGGTGGCATAGGTTCTCCCTCATGGATCTAGGGAGAAGGTTTCTAGATCAAAGTCTTCTCAACTTCCTTCACAGAAGGAAGAAGGAAGAGGCAGCCCATAAAGTTCCTGCCAGGGACGTCCACAGGAGGGTGGAACTGAGGGAAAGCAAAAAATCACAACATAGAGGGTGTCATGGTGACTTTTCAGACCTTCTCTGTAGATGCTGCCTGTGCCTGACAGTTGCCTTTCTCCAAAAGGCTAACAAGACAAAATAAACTTTAAAAAGCATGACTGGAAAAAAAAAATATTTATCCAAAATCTCATCTATCTATCCTTCTCTTCTGAGCTTTCGGGGTAAAGCCCCTAAGCCCACTGAAAAATAAACAACAACAACAACAACCACCACAACAAAGGAATCACAATCAATCTTCATCACATTTAAAAAATAATAATCAAAAACACAACCATTAGAATCCTAGGATTAAAAAAACAACAACATTCACCACCTGTAAATACCAGCAGATTATCTGATCTACAACTGACTCAGGAAACTTTGTTTTAGGTCATCAGTTTAGTCAGAAAATAATCTGCAGCCTAATAATGAAATAAATAATTGCAATAGCGGATGAGATGATCCAAACTCCTTAAAAGTTAAAGAACTAACAGGTACATTTATATGCAACACACAAAGTTTTTGTCTGCTTTGATTTGGTGATATGTCTTAGCCTGTGAGATAAATCCAGGCCACTCAGTTGGATTCAATTGTGCATTGACCCCAATTGACCCCTAAGCAAGACAGTTGTTAAATGAATTTTGCCCCGTTTTATGACCTTTCTTGCTGCCAGCTGTCAAGTTGTGAACACTGCCACTTGTTAATTTAGCAACACGGTTGTTAAATGAATCTGGCTTCCAGGTTGACTTTGCTTGCCAGAAGGAAGGTCACAAAAAGGTGATCCCATGAACTCTGGGACATTGCAACCGTCACAGAGATGAGTCGGTGGGCAAGCGGTCAGATTTTGATCACGTGACCCTATGGGTTGCTTGCAATTAAGTGGAAAATGGCTGTAAGTTTCTTTGTTCAGTGCTGTTGTTACGTTGAACAGTCACTAAACAAATGGTTATAAGTCGAGAATTCCCTGTACTGGAAGTATCTTTTCCAGAAGCAAAGACAAGGGTTCTTTTGCATTGTCAGAATACGCACACTTTGGGCGCTACAAGTTTGGACTGAAGAAGAGAATGTTCTCCTGCCAATCTTACTGGACCCTCCTACCCTCGATTCTGAACTAGCAAGTGAAAGAAAAATACCCAATTTCCATCTCTCAGTAAGTGCTTTTTTAAAATTTCCTAAAAGACGGTTCCTTCATTGTCAAATGGCTGCTCTCAAAAGAACAGAAATGTGCCAGAAGCAAAAAATCGGACCTACAAAAACGGGATCACACCAGATCGCTATCTAGGGCAGAGGTCAAAAAAGGATGGTGCCAAGTTCCAATAAATGCATCCAGCATAAAACCAACTCTGAGACATTTCTGACTCTCAAAGAACAGTTTTATTTAGATACACCGTCCTGGCCCTCACTGGCGGAAAGTTTCCCGGTACTGAAAGTTTCCCGGATCTCCACGCCGCTATACGTAGAAAATTTTCCGCTTCCCAAAATAATATGTCACATGGTCCAACCAGGATGTGAAACAAATTCCCCTGGCAACTTCGTTCCTCCTTTCACATCCTAGATTGGACCATGTGACATGTTGTTCTGGGAAGTGGAAAATTTTCTACATATAGCGGCGTGGAAAGCCGGGAAATGTTCAGTACAGGAAAGCAGTTGACTCATCATCTAGCTGTGTAGTTTTGGCTGGAGCTCCATCCCAAATATTATTTGCAACTTCAGACGCCCCCAAAGTTGATGCCCCTCGATTAAACACGTGACAGGATTAGCTTAAGAGCAGCGTTTCTCAATCTCAGCCATTTTAAGACGCTTGGACTTCAACATGGCTGACTGGGGAATTCTGGGAGTTGAAGTCCATATATTTTTAAGTTGCCAAGATTGGAAAATGTTGGCTTAGAGGAGCCAATCTAGGTCAACAACAAAATAAAGCTTGCTACGGAGAAACACATCTTGAACATAAAATCAAGAATGTACATTCCTACTTGTCAGGAGGCTTCAGGACTTTGAAAACACCCTCTGGCAAAATATTAAGTTCCATTTGATGTCCATACACAGTCATCAATTCCTTATATAATGGCATGGCACTGTAGCCAGAGTAAAAAAAATAAAAAAAAATAAAAACCAAGCATTTTTTCCTACGGCTTCTATTTTTAGCCAAGTTATTTTTGCCGAAATAATCAGGCTACAAAAACAAACAGGCCAACAAACAACCTAAAATGAAATAAAATAAAAATCTCAGGGAATAAGGCTATAAACATTTTAAGCCTTCTAGGAAATGAGTCCGGGAATATTTTTTCCAGAGGCAACTGGAGTTTTTGGCATTTTTTTTTTTTTTGGAAGATGTTTTGCTTCTCATCCAAGAAGCTTCTTCAGCTCTGACTGGATGGTGGGGGACGGAAGGATCCTCCCTGGTTTGAAAGAGGGGCCAAATAGGCCATCTATGTCGAAACTGAAGAGCTTTCTCTCAACAGAGGGAAAGGAGTCAACATCATCTATCTCCACTCTACAACACAGTCCTTTCAACCACTTCCAAGAAGGCTTCATACCCATTTGCATTACTCAAGTGACCTTGAGGACACCGATAAACCTCCAAGTGGCCTCAACGACCCTCTAAAAGGATGCAAATGACCAGCTGTCTGCAAGGAACATAAATCCTTCCATTCTCCACCATCCAGTCAGAGCTGAAGAAGCTTCTTGGGTGAGAAGCGAAACGTCTTCAAAAGAAAAACCAAGAAAGTCCGGTTGTCTCTTGGGACAACCATGTCAAGGATGACCGAGAACCTCCATAGACACATATGACATTAGCATGTCTTTGGATTTATTGGGTTTTCCTGCCACCCTGGGTCTGCATCAATTCAGTAACGATTTCACCACAGTGCAATAATAATAACAATAATAAAGCAGATATTTTGAAGATTCTCATCCGGGTCCTTTTTTGGAAATCTTGGAAATGTCAAAAGCCAAGCAGAGGAAAGACACCCCCAGCAAAATCAACGAAGCAGAATTCCATCTCTCCCAGAGGCGACGCTGCTCGGAGGCGACTCCCTAGCTTGGTCGGCCCAAATTTTTTCCAGCCGAATTCACCTTTTCCATCAAAAGGAGGATGTGCTCGGCGAACTCGCGAACAGCCCCGCGGCCACCACTGGACCTGCAAATGTAGCTCGCCGCTTTCTGCGCAGCCGGACAAGCATCTGCAGGGACGGCGCTCATGCTGGCTTTTTTCAGGCACTCCACATCCGAGTCTTCGTTTCCTGTGGGTGACCGGGGGGAAGGGGGGCAGGGAAAAGCATCTTCGGTGAACGATCGCGGGCTTTTAAAATGGTTCTTAATCGGTTAAATTTTGTTAGAGGTGTTTTGTTAGAGGTAAAAAAATGGACTTGCTGTTCTCGATCATACCGGTGAGGATGGGACTCTCTTTAAGGACTCCAACCTTTTGACAAGCGAAGTCAATGGGGAAGTCAGGTTCACTTAACAACCGGGTGACTAGCTTATCAACTGCAGTAATTCACTTAACAACTGTGGCAGGAAAACTTGCAAAATAGGGAAAAACTCACTTAACCAATGCCTGACTTAACCACCAACATTTTGGTGCTCAATTTGTGGTTGTAAGTCGAGGACTACCTGTTCCCTTTTTTACTGCTATAATTGAAAGAAGCTCAAAAAACCATCCCCTGGGGCAGTGATGGCGAACCTTTTTGTTGTGGTGTGCTGAAAGCGCACGCAGGCACCCACAATGCAATGCACCCTGCCCCCCTGCGCATGCGCACTCAAAACCCCGCCTCACCCCCCTTGCCTGCATTGCGCATGTGCACGCCTCCCAGCTGATTTTTGGCCCATTTGAGGCCTCCCGGAGGCTTGAGGAAAGCCTGTAAAGCCTTGGCAGGCTGAAAAATGGGCTTTCGGGAAATACCGGAAGTGCCCGTTTTCAGCCTCCGGAGAGCCTCTGGAGCCCAAGGGAGGCCATTTTCTCCCTCCCGGAGGCTCAAGGAAAGCCTCTGGAGACTCGGGGCTTGTTTCAGCACTTCCGGTATTTCTGGAAGGCCCATTTTTCAGCCTCCCAAGGCTGCAGAGGCTTCCCTTGAGCCTCCGGGAGGCCGAAAACGGCCTCAAATGGGCCTCAAATCAGCTGGGAGAAGCGTACATGCACAGTGCCAGTAAGTGGCAGGGGCTCACGTGCCCGCACAAATGGCTCTACGTGCCACCTCATGGCCCTGGGGAAATAATAAAACAGCTGAAGCATAAAGTAGAAAAGTGGAAACCTTGTTCGCAGAGGAAGCCAACTTTTTCAGAAACTTCCAGCATTCAATGAAATCAGCAACAGTGTTCGGAAAGGGCCTCACCTAAGTATGCCACCTCTTTCCAGCACAACCCCATGGCCTTCCGCCATTTCTCCACGACGCCCAGCTTGTCTATCACCCCGACTTCCACGGTGCAGCCCAGCTTCGAGGTGAAGAGCCCCTTGGTGGAACAGTCTCTCTCAGAGATCAGATGCACCTGGACAAATGAAAGGCTGTTAGTGCTGACAGAGGAGAACTTTTGGAGTTTGAAATGTGGGGTCCCTGGTGCTCTCTGAGCTTGGTCGTTTTCTTGCAGATGTTTCATTACTAAACTAGGTAACGTCATCAGTGTCAAGCAAAACATCGTGGGTATTAAAGCACCTTTGACACTGCAAGAATGTCAGAGGTGTTTAAATCATATGATCTCTTTTCTCTCTGCTACCCCGGATGGGAAAGACACTTAACTGGTGTCAGCCTTAGAAGCCATTTTTTTACTTGAAGCTTCGAGGCTGCCACATTCAGTGTCGGGGAATTTGGGAGGAGGGATTTCATAGTGAGGTAGAAGATCAGACACAACAACATTCTTTCTCAGAGAGTCAAGGACATGTTACCCTGCACCTGGAGGGGAAGGACTGGGAGGATGTCTCCAGTTGGAACGAAGGTTTGTTTGGGCCATGTGATGGACTGATGGGTGCAGGGGATGGATCTTTGAATTTCTCTGGGGGAAGGGAAAATCCAGAACTCTCAGATTGTGCCAATATGACGACAACTCTAATAAAATGGAACTTCAAGGAATTGATGGTCTCGGAGTTTATTGGTTTGGAGTTGGTTAGTTGGAATGCTGACGTTAACCTCAATCTCTAAATCTTTAACCCCCTCCCCGGAAACCGGAGGCTGTCCAGAATCCTGAGCCCCGAACGTCAACCTGCAGACTCAGGAAAGATTGACAACTAGGACAATAAACCCCAGATCTAACCCCGTTATCCTTCCATAAAGCTTTGAAGACCTGGCTATGCTCCAGAGTCTGGGGAGTTATACGAACCAAGGATTCCACCTCCTGGCTTTATTGTTAACAGGCCAGAGGTCTCGAATTGCACATTTTCATGGTGGTTTTTAGTGCTTTCATGGTTTTTATTCTTCTGTTTTAAAACATTTTAAAGATTTCAATTGTCAACTTCCGGTTTGAGCGTCTTCAGCGACAGACCGAAACCTCGTCTCTGCGAGGCTTCGATCCATGCTCGCCGCTGGAGTGTCCTGAGCTGGCTGGTTTTGGGGTTAAGCCACCCTGTAAAGGTGGTGAAGAAGGAGGAGACTGCCTGCAGGGTTGAGGAGAGCCGCATCTCTCCTCCCCAGCTGGCCATTACTCCCTTTCCCGAAGGCGGTTGTAGTGGTGGTCAGAAATGGCCACCACAAAGAAGAACTCGACCGGAAAAGAATGTGCAGGAGGAAGATAAGAAGAGAAAGTTTTGGTTGACTGGGTCAAACAGCAAAAGCAACAAATAAGGTACCCTGGAATTGAAACTATTTAAAAAAAAAAACAATAACATTGTTCCCTAAGAAGATTTTCAAACTGCGAAGGAGAGAGAAAAGGGAAAAGATTTGGGTTTTTTTCTCCTTTTCCTATACTGACAGCTAAGAGACTTAAGCAAAAATTTGGAAAAAAATCCACTTTGACATTAATAGGCATTTAATGCTGAAAATAAAAAGTCAAAGGGATAATAAAGATTTCTGGATAATCAAAAGCTTTTGAAAACAGGAAAGGAGAGAAAAGATGAGATAATCAAAATAAAATAGAGAAAATTAAAAGAGGGGAAAAACTATATAGAAAATGTAGAATAATATAAGATATGGAATAGAACACAAAAAGGAGCATGAAATTGAGTTTTGTGTCTATAAAGAAGTTCAACCCGGGACCATGCTATTTTCAAAAAAGATGTTTTACTTTTATTTTGTATGTGTGAAAACTCAAATAAAACTTTATTTAAAAAAAAAATTTCAATTGTAATGTATGTCTTGAATTGTGAGCTGCCCAGAGTTATTTGCTAAGATGGGCGGCTGTAGAAGTCAGTCAAACAAACAATCACATAACTTTGCTAAGTCCCTTCCTCTCAGAGTCTTTATGATGTCTCCATACTCTCGAGCAATGGGTACAAGTTTTGACATCTTGGCCTCCCCCGTGAAAACTAAAAGTCTACCTCCTTAGAAGGAACATCAGACATATAAAAGGAACAGATCAGACATCCAGCCCTTGCTTAGCAACGGAGACTGAGTGGAGCAAGTGGCCAGTTTTAAGTTTCTGGCTGTTACCCTAAAAGAGGACCTGACCTGGGGTGCCCACATTGCAGCCCTGGTCAAAAGGGCCCAGCAGAGATTATACTACCTGAGACTTCTCAGAAAACAACAACTGAATGAAAAACTGCTGGTGACCTTCTACCACTGCACCATAGAGAGTATCTTAACTTACTGCACCTCTGTATGGTTTGCCAATTGCACAGTGGCAGATAGGACAGCGCTCCAGAGGGTTAACATCATTGCCCAGAGGATCATGGGTTGCCCTCTCCCCTCTTTGGAAGAGCTTTATAGCTCCCGCTGCCTTAAGAAAGTCCAAAACATTTTCAAAGATCCATCTCATCCTGGGCACCCCTCTTTTTTTTTTGAACTATTACCATCTGGCAGGACGGTACAGAATAATAAAAACAAGGACAAATAGGCTGAAAAACAGCTTCTATCCCAGGGCAGTAGTTCTTTTGAATTCTGCTGTATAGTGCAGTATTGGTGCGGTGTCGGGGTTTTTTGGTTCAATGTGTGGAGTGTGAAGGATTTCTGTTCGTGTTTATTTTCAATCATAATGTACACTGAAGATGGTATTTAATTTCGTTGTATGAGGTGCAATGACAATCAAGTAAACTAAACTTTCCAATAAAAGGCAAAGAAATTTTGCGACATCCCTACCCTGATAGACAAGACTTAAGATGTACCTCGACGCCTCTTTTCTGAAGCTGACTGATTCCAACAGCGTCTCTGACATCATAGGAAACCATCTCTTTTCCGTCTTCCGAGATGTAGATGTGGCCGGTGGTGAGGCATCCGTCAATGGTACAAACCAGAAGCTTCACTTCCTTTAAGGTGTCTTTCCCAAAGTAGCCATATCTGGAAATATGGTTTACAAGCATGGAAAAAGAAGGGAGGGAACCAGTTTACTTATGTTGCAATCTAGGGACAAGAGGAAGGCTGGAAGATCAAGAGGAAGAAAAAAAAAAAGCATAGTTCTCAGAGGTGGTATTCAGCCGGTTCGGATCGGTTCTGGTGTATCGGTAGCGGAAATATTGAGCAGTTCAGAGAGCCACCAAATACCACCTCTGTTTGGCCCAGCCCACCCACCCCTGCTGTTACCTCTGCTATATTACCTCATTTTTTAGCTCAGCTGATTCGCAAGGCAGAGTGGATTGCTGCGCCTCAGCTGAGCTAAGAAACAGCTCAGCTCACCAGTGTTGACATAGCGTGTGTGCTTTCACTGCTTTCTCCTAGAACCACTAAGAAAAAGTTTGGAAACCCACCCCGAGAGTTCCTCTGGAGGAGAGAACAGAATAACAGAGTTGGAAGGGATCTTGGAGGTCATCTAGTCCAACCCCCTGCTCATGCAGGAAACCCTATACGATTCTGCTATTTCGATCTCTTCTTAAAAAAAACTCCGGTGTTGGAGCACCCGCGACCTCTAGAGGGAAGTTGCTCCACTGATGGATTGTTCTAACTGTCAGGAAATTTCTGCAGCCTACTAGTTTTTTCTGCATCTGGGTGCGTACGATTCACATAGGTTGCTAAGATCAGAGAGAGAGAGACTCAAAGTTTCTAGCCCACCCTCAAACAGGAAATCTCACTGGGATGTCCTTGGATCAGTCCTTCTCGCTGCCTGACAAGGTTGCTTATTGTGAAGGTAATCTTGGAGGACAGATATGTACATTGCTTCAGTGGTGGGATTCAAAAAATTTTTTACTACCTGTTCAGTGGGCATTGGTGGGTGTGGTTTGGTTGGTGCGGCAAGGGAAGGATAGTAGAAAATCCCCATTCCTTCCCCATCCCACTAACCTGCTTTCCAGCTCTCTTCTCCTGGGCAGGGCAACCAAAGAAGACCCAGGCGACCAGCTGGGACTTGGGAGGCAGAGAATAGATGGGGGTGGGGCCAGTCAGAGGTGATATTTGCCGGTTCTCCGAACGACTCAAAATTTCCGCTACTGGTTCTCCGGAACTGGCCAGAACCTGCTGAATACCCACCTCTGCTTTGAGCTCTTTGAAGAGCAGAAATCTTGCCAAATAAAGTAAGACTAATATTTAATTGCAAGATACACCCCGCTCTTCAACTTATATGGACCTGTTCTGGAACAAGGGTACCTAGAGAAGAGAACATTTGTAACTCTAGATTGAAATGAGGGGTCCTTGGTGCTTTCTCTGAGCTTGCAGACGTTTCATTACCCAACTAAGTAACTGTATCAGTTCTACAAGTTAGTTTAACTGTACTCCCTTCAAACACGGATGACATTACCTAGTTGGGTAATAAAACGTCTACAAGGAAACAACCAAGCTCAAGCAAGCACCAAGGACTCCACAAGGGTATCTGCTGATGGTACACCCCAGCCCTACAAGATTTCTCAAAGGAGGAGAACATCACTGTAAACTGTCAGCGTTTGCAGCGTGACTACTATTGTGAGACAACCCAGGAGCACAACACAGCACACAGAGGCTTTGTCTTTTAACAGTGGTTTATATACAAGACAGCTATATACATATATACATGTGTTAGGCACATACCAGGCAAGCAATCAGACCTCATTACTCTGCACAGAGAACTACAATGGAGATAGAACATGAGGAGAGAGAGAGATACGCCTTCTCATGGCCGCCCTTGTATATACAGCTTCTTCAAAGTGGCAATAACCCTGATGACCCAACCTCAGTCTTAAAGTGGCAATACCCTACTGATTCTCATTGCATCAGCATTTACAGCAGCCTTACAACAGTTGGTCAGCTATTAAATCTTCAATATCTCAACCCAAACACCCAAGAAAACCAGGTTTTGTGCTTACCTTAAGACCCGTTGCTCCGCGATAGGCCAATCTATATCCACATCTATGTCCACGCTATGCTCAGCTCGCATTTCGTAGTATGCCATTTTCCCACCCTAAATCAAAAAGGAAAGCATGGGTCAGTCAATCTTGCCCACACCGGATGTGTGGCAAATCCTGAACACTGGACAAGATTTCCACAGGGGTTATGTACATGTCTGCAGACAAGAGTCTCTGGAGCCCAAAAGGTTAGAGGAGTTCCAATGAAGAAAAATATAATTAAACCAATAAATCCAATTTAAAGAAGAGTGGGAAAGAATTATTCACACAATATTTTAAACAACTCACTATGATTGGTCTAGTTCAACTACTTCCTTATTATGTTTTCTTCCTTATATATGATCTTGGATTTAACGTGATTAGGATTCACTGCAGTAAGAATGAAAAAGATAATCAGGACTTCTTATCTAGATGTTGATAGTTATGTTAGTCCTTCCTTCCTTCCTTCCTTCCTTCCTTCCTTCCTTCCTTCCTTCCTTCCTTCCTTCCTTCCTTCCTTCCTCCCTCCCTCCCTCCCTCCCTCCCTTCCTTCCCCTTCCCTTCCCTTCCCCATCCATCCATCCTCTCTACATTCTTCTCTGATATTTTGGGTCTACTTAAGAAACAATAAATTAACTACCTCTTATATTCCCCTCCTTAACACTCTGGGTGGAATGGTAAAAAGATAGCATAATTTATACCAGCTGTGTTCTGCATAAAAAATAGTAAATAGGAAAGTCTGTTTTGGGAAAAAATAAAACTATAAATCCTACCTACTATGGCCTTTCAGCTGGGGTGGATTTACCAATATTTTAGGCGGCATAGTTGTATCATGCTACAACTAGGACTGTGAAACAACCTGACTTTTCAGGTCAAACCCACCCCTTATGGGAAGACTTGAAGAAACAAAATTGAGCAAAAAACCATTCAGCCAGTTCCTAAATTGGGGCTACTAAAAGGTTAGCACTGAAAGAGGTGGAGTAACTTCTTTGGAAATCCAATTCAGAAGGGCTGTGGCAAAGGAAGGGCCAATAGGAATGGTGCACCCACCTGCAAATATCCCTTTTCAATTAAGGCCCTCTTGGCAAAGTAAAACGATCCATTTTCATAAAGTTCCCCATCCCAGTCCTGTCGCCGAGGACGCTTGGCAGGATTCAGATTTTGCGGGACGGTTGCTTCGCAGACTGTTAAAAGCAACGAGGGAGCAGGGGGAGAAAAATGGATTTGGTGTCACTGGAATTTTAATTGTGCTGTCCTGCTCACTCTCTCACATACATACATAACTGTAGTTTAGCGCAGAGGTCTCCAACCTGAGCAGCTTTAAGACTTGTGGACTTCAACTCCCAGAGTTCCTCAGTGTCAAGTAATAAATACTTCTTTGGTCTTTTTAGTTGCCAGCAGAAAGAGAATGGGGGAAAGCAGTGCATTCCTTAAATACTTCAGATAATCGCTTGGGCAACCGAAGCTTCTGGCACACAAGATTATTACTGGAGAGCATGTTTGATGACTCTTGGCTATGAATGTGTCTCATTGGAGAATATACATCCAGGGGGTGGGGGGGAAGGTCAGGGTCAAGGGTGAAATGAATGATGTGGCTCAGAGTCGGCTGCAACTGTGAAACGCCGACATGTTAACTCCTAATAAATCAATCTTTTTTACTCTGAGAGATGTGGCTAGAGACTTCTGATTTGAAACGGGGTGCGCGTCAGAGTCCTGATAGCCAGCTTATTTGACGACGATAGATGGCTGATGCGAATAGATATCTATCTGAAGTTTTGATAAGCAATAATATCCAGTCCGAAAGATGCCCCTCCCTTACCTCCTTTTTTAATTTCACTCCATCTGAACTGGTGCCGCCGCACGACTGAAAAGACCGAATCAAAGCCATCCTCACAGATCATTCTGACCACTTTGACCAGGTCGGTGGGATGCAGGCAAGGGGAAGTTGCTTGAATGTTCCCTACAACATCAACCTCTGGAGAAACGAGAGAAAGATACAGAGGAGATAAGGAGCTTCTAGGCTGAAGTTTATGTCATGCCCCTGGTGGAGACTGACTCTGAGGGAGAGGAGGAACAGCCGACAGGGAGTGGAAGTGTGGCCCCGGAGGTTGTGGAGGAGGCTGGAGAAGGGCAGAGGCCGGCTGGGCAGTCAGAGGAGGACCCAGGCCCATCCCCTCTCCATCCTAGGGCACGCAGGGAGGAGATAAGGGAGAGACGTGGTCTACGGGGGAGGAGAGGGCCTTGATCCTCTTCATGGGCTGCAGCTGTGACAATTAGATAAGAGGACGGACATGCATACAGGCCAGTGCTGGAAACAAAACGTGGAAATATCTCTAGTTTATTGTTCCCGAGTTTGGCGTTCTTCCCAGTGTGTGTTCTGATATTTGTGGACGTCCTCCAGCCCTTATCTTGCCTGGTTTGTGTTGTTTTTTGTTGCATTTCCTCCTTCTTGTAACTGCTTGCGTGGGAGGTTTTTTTTGTCTCCAGTCAAAGATATTTGAAGCTTGGAAGCAAAGCGAAGGAATAAAAGGGGCTTCACCTGTTTTTTTGTGACTGTGTTTATTTTGTATCCCACCCTGGGTCATCATAATTTGGCTCAAGCTACAGGTAGTTCTCGACATAAGACCACAACGGAACCTAAACTTTTAATTGTTAAGTGAGACATTGGTTAAGTGAGTTTTGCCTCATTTTATGGCCTTTCTTGCCACAGTTGTTAAGTGAATCACAGAGTTGGAAGGGACCTTGGAGGTTTTCTAGCACAACTCCCTGCGCAAGCAGAAGACCCTTTACCATTCCAGACAAATGGCTATCCAGACTCTTCTTAAAAACCTCCCGTGTTGGAGCACCCACAACTTCTGAAGGCAAATCTTTCCACTGGTTAATTGTTCACACTGTCAGGAAATTTCGCCTTAGTTCTTGTTGGCTACTCTCCTTGATTAGTTTCCATCTATTGTCTCTTGTCCTGCAGAACATCTAGATTCAGTCACACTTTTGTTCCATATAGCATCAACCTTGTGAATTCTCAAGTTTCCCCTTTCCACTATGTATTCAAAATGGACAGCGATGAATATATCAGCTCGATACCCGTGATTTGCTACAAAACTATCTGGTCGGGCTTAGTTTTTGGGGAGGAAAATAAGGGAATAAGGGAAATTTTGCCTCTGCCTACCAGCATCCATTGGTATTCACCTGGCTAGTGTTCTGTCAGTGTGTGAGAGTTGAGGGCTGTTTGGAAACTGAAACGGTATTTGCTGTGCGAGCAAGGAGGAGACAGCAAGGGGCCTGGGCGTGGCTTAGCTCAAAGGTGTACTAAAGGTGTTTGGTGCTGTGAAACTAAAACTGAAACTGAAATTCCTCTCCTCTGCTTGTGTTTTGCATTTGGAACAGATTTCTTTTCAGATGGGAAGGGGGAGTAGAACTCCTTAGAGCATGTTGATAACAATATACGAAATACTGGTGGTCATTTCGAAAAATCCTTTCTTAGTGAGCACCTAGAAGCCAAGAAGAACATACGTGCCAAGTTTTAAGTTTGTAGGCTTTACGGTTCTGGAGAGTTTGTGATGATGTGTGGGTGGTATTTCGCTTTTATATAGATAGATATATAAGATATATACATGCGTGCTGCAAGTATATATTAATATATGTATAGAGCAGGGGCGTCAAACTGGACTTCTTCAAGGGTCGGATCAGCATTGTACTTCTCTGTGGGCACATGCTCCCCTGCGCCCCATTTTGGCTGAAAAATGAAACCCAGGCTGAAAACGGGGGGGCGAGGGGGCCATGCATAGCTCACTGTGCCTGTTTTGGCTGTCAGAGGCACCATGCGCTGGTCCATTGCTGTTTCCAGGCTAGCCCAGCAGGCTGAATTTAAGCATCTTGCGGGCCAGATTCAGCCCACAGGCCTTTAGTTTGACACCCCTGGTATAGAGCATGTGTATATTTTGTTTGGGTAGATATACACTTTCTCTTGAGAGCAGGCAACATAATTTCATTTTTAATGTGGGCCAGTGTGCTTGCAGTAAAAAAAAAAATGACAATAAAGTTATCTCATCTTATCTTATCTTGCCCTGGAAAATAGGATGACCCCCACTTTAGATATTGGAATATTGCTATTATATCACCCCTGGTCCTTCTTTTCATTAAACTAGACATACCTGCATTCAAATCCAGAGAACGACAGCTGAAAGATCTCCCAAAGCAATACTTTAAAAAAAACCACACACACACAGAGTTTGTGAATACCAACATACCCTCGTGATATTGGAGAAACTCCCTAATGGTGTCCAAAGAAGTCGAAGAATCTTTAGATACTTCAGAGCTCCTCCGATGAACCTGAGCTCCAAACTGCTTGGCAATTTTCTCAATTTCATCGTGATCCGTGGAAATCCACACACTGTGGGTAGACAAAGGGAGCAGCGACATTGTTGTCCGTTAGGGAAGTTGTGGTACAACATGACAAGCATTGAGATATGAGTCAATTCTTTATCTCGTATCCCTCCCCCGCCATTAAATCTTTTGGAAAAAGTGAATAGTAAACCGTTCTCTTCGACCAAAGACTTTTAGGAAAATCACTAGGGTTTGGCCTCAGTTTTCAAATGTGTAAAATGGGTATATCACATTTGCAAAAACAGAAAAATTGTGCTTCCTGATTTGGAAGCAAAAAAGGGTCATTGGAGGATATTAGAGCATACATCTAGCCCCTTCTGCAAAGGTGTAAGGCTGCTGCATTGTTTTCTCTTTAAAGCATAATTAGTGCTGTGGATTCCAGAAAAGGGCATGTTTTAATTTAAGGTGGACAGAATGATCCTATCTTTATGCCAACATATGCTTTGAAATACCTTTTACCCTTTTATACCAAATACTGCACAGCCATAATTTTCTGTTTTGCCCTCAAGTCCTCTCCAAGGAATTATAATAGGTAGATACTTCTAGCTACCTCGGAGAAAAATATCTGAAAACATATGGTTTAGTTTCTATTCCCTATCAAAACTCCCCCTCTGAAATAGCAATGGCACAAGCGCTTAGACTTATATACTGCTTCATAGTGCTTTACAGCCCTCTCTAAGCTGGTTTACAGAGTCAGCCTATTGCCGCCAACAGTCTGAGTCCTTGTTTTAACGGCTTCAGAAGGATGGAAGGCTGTGTCAACCTTGAGCCGGTCAGGATCGAACTGCTGACAGTCGGTAGAATTAGCCTAAAATACTGCATTGTAACCAGGGCTCTTATAATAAACTGAATATTCTCTTAAATTAAATAGAAGGTGCAAACTTGCAAGTATTTCTTTCAACAAGTAAATTTAATAAACTGGTGTTGGACAGCCCATACGGTATATTTAATTAAATAACAATACCGGTAGTCCTTGACTTATAACTATTCATTTAGTGACCAGTTCAAATGACAATGGCACTGAAAAAAGTAACTTACAGTCACCCAGCTTGCCTCCAGAAGCCATGGATGCTCCATCACTGGAGGCTTTTAAGAAGAGACTGGTCGGTCATTTGTTTGAAACGGTGCAAGATCTCCTGCTTAAGCAGGGGGCTGGACTAGAAGACCTCCAAGGTCCCTTCCAGCTCTTTCTGATTAAAATTTTTCACACTTGTGACTGTTGCCGCATCTCCACTGTCACATGATCAAAATTTTGGACAACTTGATAATTGGCTTTGAAACATGTGGTCACCATTAGTAACCTTCCCAGATTTTAACCTTCCTGCAAAGTCAAGTCAGTGGGGAAAGCCAGATTCACTTCATGACCGCGTGATTCACTTAACAACGGTGGCAAAAAGTCATAAAACGGAGCAAAATCACATCACAACTGTCTTACTTAACAGCAGAAAATTTGGGCTCAATTGTGATCATAAGACAAGGACTACCTACAAAACATATAAAGGATGTACTAAAAGTTAAGCCTCCCAATTTATAAAAAATTCATTCAACATTTGAATTGGTTGCCATTTTTAAACAAAAAATTTTTTTTAAATTTATTTTTATAAATTTTCATTCATGAACATTTTAGACTAACATTCATAAACATTCATAAATGTTTTTGAATAACAGTTCATTGGCAAAGCATTATTTACAAATAAAACCCAACCCAATCTATGTTGGCAATAAATCTCAACATACAAACTTATAGCAATAGTAATGGTATAATAACTGTGCCAATAGAATAACCAAAATAATTGATCTAGGTTTTTTTACATTAAGTTAATTACATTTTTTATCAATTACTACATTTATATTTATCTACCTCTTTACTTTCACTATATATAATATTAACCTTCATAATCTTACTTTCTCTAAGTAAATCAATAAAGAATTCTATTCTATTCTATTTTATGCTGTTAGATGTACTTTTATTCCTTGGAATCTTGAAAGTAAAAAAGTTCTAATTTCTACCTCTTTTCTCTATCCATTCACAGAATTTATGTCATGCCCGAAAGCATTCTGAATCGCCTTTGTCTTTAATTTTTAAAGTTAATCTATCCATTTCAGCACAGTCCCAAATTTTCCTAACTGTCCACCTCGTCTGGTAGAGTATTCATATTTTTCCAGTATTTAGCATATGTTATCCTTGCTGGAAACTTTTGCAAGAATATATTTCACATAGTCCATCCTAGATTTGAAAACTTGATGGATTTTCATCTTTTGATTCTGAGAGAGCGTGCTTTCTAATAATGATAAAGTCCTGCGTTGGGTTTTTTTTTTTAAATCATGATTTGTATGAAATTCCTTAAGGAATCAAACGCAACCCTGAAGTTTCTGTTGCAGACAAAAGAACTGTAGTTTCATTAAAAGGAGGGGGGGAAGGAGGAGGGGGAGGAGAAAGAACGTTGACACTCGCGCATGCGTAGACCTCTGGAAGGCGCCGGAGTCGAGGGCTGCCCTCAATACCCAACCAATCAGCGGAACGCCAGCCAGGAGCTTAATGTTCTTTAGCGGGATCCCTTTGCTGCCGCCTCGAGCCAGGACCAGCGCCGCTATGTGAGGGGACCCCAAGTCGGCATCCCCCGACGGCCGGGAAGAGGAGACAGCGAGCGAAGGAGAATCCCCAACTGTCGCAGACATGATTTGCCTGACAGAAAGAACAGAAACCGCCCTGCCACGTTTAAGCCCCGCCCCCCCTTCGCGCAGCCGCCCTGGCACGCCCGCCATGAGGAATGCCGGGAGGTGGAGTTTTTAGGCGCGGAGGGGAACATTCCCCGCCGCTTCAAGGATTCTGAGGCGGTAGAGGGCGCTGTTTCTGCGCTTGCCCGGGGAAATGTAGTTTCATTGGTCGATGGGAGTCCAAGCCAAAGGTCGTTGCAGTGGGATGTCGGGAAACGTAGTTCAATGGATGGATGACTCTATAGGGGATCTCTGCTGGACATGAGGCCGTTCCTCTCGAAATGGGATGGACTACAAATCCCATGTACTGGCTGAGTGTGATGGCTGTTGGAAAGCACCTGGTCGAATGGCCTGGAGGATAAGAATCCCCTTCAGCCAGTAGAGAAATGGCACAGAGGCATTTCCAACCTTCAGAACCTAAAAGTTGGATTTTAGACTGTCCTTGCCTGGAGAAAACTGTAGATGATATCTTGGGCTGGAAGAATAGCAACAGCACTTAGGCTTACATACCACTTTACAGCCCTCTCTAAACGGTTTTACAGAGTCAGCCTATTGCCCCCCAACAATCTGGGTCCTCATTTTACCAAACTTGGAAGGATGGAAGGCTGAGTCAACCTTGAGCCTGGTAAGATTCAAACTGCCAAACTGCGGCCCGCCGGCAGTCAGCAGAAATAACCTGCAGTATGGCACTCTAACCACTGCTCCACCGCAACTCAAAAACAAATCATGCAATGTTTTGTGAAGTAAGAAGAGAAGTGAAAGTTGATTGTTGAAGAAGCAGGATAGGAAGAGGATCAATGCTTTGGAGTGTTGGAAGGGATTGCAGAGATAACTGAGGACAGTCCAGAAAACAAAGAAATGGACCATCCATTTCATTTCTTTTGTTTTCTTGGCTGTCCTCAGTAATTTCAGAAAAGCTACCAAAGTCCTCACTGGGTTCAAACTAACCTAGTTCAGATATATTATGCAAAGACTAGTTCTCTAGAAAAAAGATCTTAATGCTGCGAAAGGTGGAAGGAAAAAGAAGAGGAGGATGACCAACAGCAAAGGGGGAATGGACTCAGTTACAATGGTAGAACTGTTGGAAGATCTGAAAAATCGGGTTAAGAATAGATTATCACAGAGAAGAATCTATGTATGTGGTCATCACTAAGAGTTGGCAGTGACTTGATGGCAGACTGTAAATCAATTTCTTTCCAGGATAGCCATACAGTCCTCAAAGAAGTCCATAATCCAGGGAAAAGTAGAAGAGAAATCCACCAGAAGCAAGTGGACAAATTTGGTTACAGTGGTGACCAGGGTGCATTACTGGAAGATTTGACAGACCAAATTAGAGACAGATCATGAAGAAAATCTATCTGTGATGTTTCATCTACGTGTCCCAAAGGTGTTTTTTTCCAGGAGGCAACTGGACTTTCTGGTTTTTCTTTGAAGACATTTTGCTTCTAATCCAAGAAGCTTCTTCAGCTCTGACTAGATGGTGGGCAATGGAAGGATTTATACTCCTTGCAGCCAACTGGTCATCTGCATTCTTTTAGAGAGTTCTTGAGGCCCCTTGGAAGTTTGTCTGTATCTTCAGGGTCACCTGAGTGCAAATGGGTATGAAGCCTTCTTGACTGCAGGATGTTTTCTGCCTGTGTCCCTTCACTGTTGAACACAGGCAAATGCTGTTGGGGATGAGTCTGTATTGTCTGCATCTCAAACTGAAGTACAAATGGTTCCTGTAGTCTGCAATTTTCTGGAAATCTGTTTACAAAATCCGTTTTTGGGGTGAGAAGCGAAACACCTTCAAAGAACACCAGAAAGTCCAGTTGCCTCTTGAAAAAGCACCTTTGGAACAACCATGACTTGGATGATTGAGAATCTCCATAGACATTTCACCTATGTGGTTGCTGAGAGTTGACCCCAACTTGATGGCATACAATTAGACAGTCAACAGGAAGATTTAGCTCACTTGAGAGCACATAATGTGGAGAAAAGAGAAAGGGAAGAGAAGAAGAGGATGACTAGTAGCAAGATAGATGGACTCATTTACAGAAGTGATGGATGTACCATTGAAAGACCTAAAGAATCTCAAGTCAGAGAGAAATCCTGGAGAAAATCTATTTATTGTGGTTACTAAGAATTGACATTCACTTGATGGACATATGATCAGAAAACAAAACCGCTCACAGGAAGTATTAAAAGCAAAGCTAAACCGTAGATATAGAATTCTTTATTGGCCAAATGTGATTAGACACACAAGGAATTTGTCTTGGTGCACGTGCTCTCAGTGTACATAAAAGAAAAGAAACATTCATCAAGAGTCAAGAATCATAAGGTATTATGGAACAAATAGTAAGTAGGTATTGAAGAAGATTCTTATGTTTGGAAGAATCAAAGACAGTAATAAAAACAGACTAACAAACAAGTTGATACACTGATGACGTAACAGAAGCTTACAAGAACTCTTAGAAATAATTGCTAGAAAACACTTTTGACCAAATAGTGTCTTATCAGTTCATGAGATGTTGGAAGCAACAGAGCAACTAAATAACAATAAATCTATGAGGGAAATAAAAATGGCAAAAAAAACTGGAGTGCTGTTAGCATAGAATTCATTCATGATGTGCTTATATTTTTCCTTAGTAAATTGAACCACCATCTTCCAAAGCCACTTTGCTGAGTTTCTGTGACAAACAACTATAGAATAAGCAGGTTTACTAGATTCACACAATATGCTAGGCTAAATTGTGGTTGGCAAGTTTATATTGAGAACATGATAGGAACATAACTACTTCCCCAATCTCATAAATGGAGTTATTGCATATTATTCTCAAACAACTATACAGCAATGGTAGAAATGAGAGCAGTAACAGTTGGCTGCTAAATATATATGAAAGCTCCTGCTCTTGCAAGTCTTTTTTAATTCCAGCAGAGTGCAGCCTTTTCACGCAGAAGAAAATTGTATATGTCTCTCAACACATTCTGAGAAATGGAAACAAGAATTAAAAATGAGCTCTTCCGGTTTTAAAGCATTGCAGTCTTTCTTGTTCACAACTTTTGCTGTGGATACGATCTGGCACATTTGAATGTTTGAGGCCTTCCTTGTTTGGGGTCTTCCAAGCCATCTGGTCTCTAGTTCTTGTTCTAGTTATGACTTACTCATGCTGGCTGGGGAAATTCTGGGAATTGAAGTCTGCCCTACTTAACCTTGCAAGAGGTTGGAAAGACTGCCCAGAAGTCTTCTTGGCCGGATTTCAGATGTGGTTTTCCCTCGCCTCCTTCCTAGGGCTGAGAGAGATCCTGTCCCAGAAAAGATCCTGGCTGGTTTGCTGCCTGAGGTGGGATTAGAACTCATTTTTCCCTACTTCAGTCCAGTATTCTAACCCTTGAACCAAGCTAGTTCCCTACCAAGCGCACCCATAAAGAATTTTCCCATGACAGAAACCTTTCCTGTCTGATCTACCCTGATAAGGGATAACCAAAATGGATTCATAATCCGGGAGGATGGGGGGTGTTTAAAAAAGTCTCAAGGTCGACAACCTTGCAAAGACCCACCCTTTTAAAATGTACATTGCAACACATCTAAAAAGAGAGTTTGGTCGCACGGTTGCGGGCAGCATGACATGATGGAACGGAGTGGGCCCGATACCCAGGAAGGAGGGGCTGCATTTCAGAGGAGCAAGAGGCAACTCAGTTCAGATACTTTGTGTGAGAGAAAGAGGGTGAAGACAGCTCCTCCCTAATAGTTTCCAGTGTCTATGGTTGATGGAGGTAACCAGTGGTGGGATTCAAAATTTTTTACTACTGGTTCTGTGGGCGTGGCTTGGTGGGTGTGGTGTGGCTTGATGGGTGTGGGAAGGATACCGTAAAATCCCCATTCTCTTCCCATCCCACTAACCTGCTTTCCAGCTCCATTCTCCTGGGCAGGGCAACCAAAGAAGACCCAGCCAATCAGCTGGGACTCAATGGGAGGCAGAGAATAGATGGGAGTGGGGCCAGTCAGAGGTGGTATTCCAAACTACTCAAAATTTCCACTACCAGTTCTCCAGAACTGGTCACAACCAGCTGAATACCACCTCTGGAGGTAACGTACTGCTTCATTCCAGCAAGATATTGTCTATCGGTGTGAAACAATAATGAAACCTGTTTGGAAGATTCACCGTGTGGTTTTTTTGGTTTGGAGGGCTTGACGCATCTAGACTTTTTTGGCTCTCTCTGTAGATACCTGTATACAGGTAGTCCTCAACTTACGACCACAATTGAGCCAAATATTTCTGTTGCTAAGCGACACAGTTGTTAAGTGAACTTTGCTCCATTTTATGACCTTTCTTGCCACCATTGTTATGTGAATCAACCACCATTGTTATGCGGTTGTTAAATTAGTAATAGGGTTGCTAAGTGAATCTGGCTTGCCCATTGATATATGGTAGCGAAAGGGAATCCCATGACCCTGGGACAGACACTGCAACTGTCATAAATATGAGTCAATTGCCAAGTGTCTGAATTTTGATCACAAAGCCATGGAGATGTTGTAATGGTTGTGTGAAAAACAGTCATAAGTCATTTTTTTCAGTGCCACTGTAACTTTGAATGGTCACTAAATGAACTGTTGTAAGTTGAGGACTGCCTTTAATTCAAAAAAGGAGAAATGGAGAGAAGCTGAAATTACTGGATTCCCTTGACCATAGTGGACTTTTACCACATTTATATGGAGAGACAATTTGGTATATTGGCTAAGGTACCAGCTAGAAAACTGGGTGTAGACTGATTACAGATTAACAGAGTTGGAAGTTACCTTGTAGGTCATCTAGTCCAACCCCCTGCCCAAGCAGGAGACCCTACATCCTTTCTGACAAATGGCAGTCCAATCCCTTCTTGAAAGCCTCCAGTGGTGAAGTTCCCACAACTTCCAAAGGCAACTTCTGTTCCATGGGTAGATTGTTCTCACTGTCAGAAAGTTTCTCCTTATTTCCAGGTTGAATCTCTCCTTGTTCAATTTCCATCCATTATCCCTTGTCTGGCCTCCAGGTGCTTTG